TTATAAAATAATACAAAATAATTTTATTTGTAATTTCGGATAAGATTTTTAATCGTTCTCGTTGCGCCACGTGTCATTATCCAAGAAGACAATTTTTTGTGATAGATTTCGATAAGATATTTATCCAATGTCGTCGTGCCACGTGTCGTTACCTTTTCAGAATTGTTGAGGATAGATTTCCGATAAGATTTTTAACCAATCACGTCGCACCACGTGTCACAATCAGTTTACAATCTTTGAGGATAGATTTCGATCAGATTTTTAACGAATAACGGCATGTCACGTGGCATTATCTACAACCTAATCCTTTCCTTTTCCTCTATATAATCCACCATCCATCCTAAGAAATCACACAACAAAATCAAAAATCTCTATCATTATTCATAGTTTTCTGCTTCCTTCTTACAATGTCTTCTTCAAAGATGTTATGGGAAATCAATCAATGAGCAAGAGAAAGAATTGTTTAAGCAAGGGGAAGACATGTTCAATCTCCAGGGGGTGAAAATGTGATGGAAGAGGAAGAAGATAAGGAGCGTAGAAAGAGAGATGACGACGAAGCAAGTAGCCAAAGAGCCTCACATTTCTCGTCGAGTCGTCCAAGCTGTGGCTCAGATTTGCAGGCTCAGCCATTCCATAAACCTTGATAGAAGCAGGCAATGACGAGGTACGAATCTCTTGGATGATTATTTTATCCGTAACAGTGCATTCCCTGATACGTACTGTAGACGTCGTTTTAGAATGGAACGACATTTGTTCAACAAAATCATGATTGTTGTTTGCAACCATGATTCTTACTTTGTGCAAAAAGAATGATGCTTTTGGTGTTATGGGTCTCTTTCCTGAGCAAAAAATTAATGCTGCCTTGCAGATGCTTGCATATGGAGTATCTGCAGACCAAGTGGATGAGATAGCGAGGATAGGGAAATCAACCATTCTGGAGTCCTTGATGAGGCTTTGCTCTGTAATCGAATCTCTCTACACCACAGAGTGCCTCTAGAGACCTATTGAGATGGACTTGCAAAGGCTTTTGAAGAAGGTTGTGATGTGAGGTTTTCCTAGGATGATTGGAAGCATCGACTGTATGCACTAGACCTGGAAAAATTGTCCAAATGCATGGGAATAAGCTTATGGGGACAGAAAATGAGCAAAAAGTATCATTTTGGATGCAATGGCTTCATTTGATACATGGATTTGGCACGCTTTTTCGGTGTTCTAGGGGCTCAAAATGACCTCAATGTCCTTGCCCAATCCCCAGTGTTCAACGATGTCCTGCAAGGAAAAGCACCAAGAGTCACGTATTGGGTCGGACATAAGTACCACGGGCCATACTATCTAGCAAACAACATTTACCTAAGGTGGTTATCATTTGTCAAAATAGTGCCACGTCCGCGAAGTGCAAAGGAGAAACACTTTGCAAGTTGTCAAGAGGGGTGTAAGAAGGATGTGGAGCGTTATTTTGGTATCCTCCAAGCTCGTTAGGCGATTGTCAGGGGTACTACCAGAATGTTTTTGATTTAAAGTCGCTTCGATCCATCATGATGACCTGCATCATTCTTCACAACATAATTGTGGAAGATGAGTATGATTATGATGTCGTTGATGAATATGAGCCAGACACGATGAACAATTCCAAAAGACAAATATATTGTGCTCATGATGCCACCGAAGAACCAGTAAAACACTAGCCATTAGAAAGGGATGGACATTACAATGAAAGGCTCATTCAACAATATACTGCACTTCAAGACCCATATATGCACAATGCTCGACAAATTGACTTGACAGAGCACTTGTGGGAATTGGAACAAACTCAAGATACTTAAGTTCATTTAGTGTGTTTGTTTTTATTTGGTGTGTTTATTTAATTTATTTGGTGTGTTTTTTAAGTTCATTTAGTGAGTTTTTTTATTATTTGGTATGTTTATGTAATTATATTTGGTGTGTTTTTTAAGTTCATTTAGTGAGTTTTTTTATTATTTGGTATGTTTATGTAATTTTATTTGGTGTGTTTATGTCATTTGAATAAAGATTCTCTTAGTTTAAATAAATTACCAAATTAAATAAATATACTCTTAGTTTAAATAAAGTACTAAATTCAATAAATTGGAAATAACATAAAGTACTTTATTAAATAAACAAGAAATTACAACCCAAAGTGATTGGAAAATTATGGGCTCCGATTACAAACAAAGTGATTGGAAAATTATGGGCTCATTAGTGGAAAATCATCACCTAACCAATTTGTAGTGCTAGGATCATCTTCTCTTGTCATGCTAGGACCATCTCCTCTTGCTCTCGATTTTCTTGCACGCCTACTTTGCACCACGTCCCCTTTTTCCGAATTCCAAAAATAATTAGAATTCAGAGACTTCATTTCTAAAGGCGTGTTCATAATGTCACGATCTCGTTGAGCCCTTCTTTCTTCTCTAATCTCTTCCCTATCTCACCTAAGTAGCTCTATTTCTCTCTCATTAGCTTGAAATAATCTCTCAACAGCTACAGCTTTTGCCTCATTTCTAGCCTTATCAGCCTCAAATTTAGCCATTTCCTGCACCAAAGTCAATTCACCTTGGCGAGTAAGTTCTTCCATATATTTTTTGCATAATCATTCTTGGTCGACCCCGACGCTTATTTTAGGGAGAAGGGGCGTTTTCGGCACTTCTTCTGCATCATCTTCATGAACATGCAAGGCATGATCAGGCGTAGAATGTAGAGGGGTGCTGTTCATGACAACTTCTGGACCAACAGGCATAACTCTAAATTTAGGACAATCTTTTGACAATATTCCAACATTCCCACCGATTGAATGATTTGTTTTTGCTTTTGGTTTTGGAATTATACCAAGCTTGTGCTTGAAGTGTCTACACAATGCGGGAGAAGAAATAATTATAATCAAAGTAGCTAATGTAAATTTGGGTATAGTACAAACAAATAAATAATATATTGTTACCTGATCCACTAAATTTTCCCCACTTCGAAGATAACTACTAGCTTGTGCCAAGGCGTTTCTCCACATACTAAACGATTGGCTGAGTATTCTCCAATGACTGGACATCGATTCTTTGGTTCTTTTCCCACCAATTTTCTCAAGATAATTGGTATTAATAAGATTCCACACATTTCTCGCAACTGCATCTCATTACCCGTAATCGAATCATGAGTAACTTCAACCCAGCTATAACACAACGTAACATCTTTAATAAGCGTCCAAGTCGTACTTGCATCATTAGTCATTTTGTTGGAAAACAATTGGATTGAAACTTTGAGAGGAAGATAGGAATGTGGTTGAAAGTATTTGAGAAAATATGAAATTGTGGTGTAAGGTAGAAGGTAATGAGAAGGTATTTATAGAAAAGTAAAATCATTTTTTTTTTAATTTTTCAATTTTTTTTTTATTTTTCAATTTTATTTTCGAATTTTTTATTAGTTTTTTACATTTTTTTTAAATTTTTAATTCACATAATTAATTTATACGTTTGGATTAAAAAAATTTGAAATCAAACCAGATTATGCCACATGGCACAACAATAAAATTTCAAATTTTTGTACTATGTTGTTAACAGAATTTATTCACATTAAAAGACACCCTTTCTATTAAAAAAACTATCATATTTAAACTCTGATATCATATGATAAACTTTTAATTAAACTCACAATCTCAAGAAGTCGAAACCATGTTAAGTAAAAAGAAACAAATTGAAAAAAATTAAGATGTAAATATTGATAAGAATAACAAAAGTGGCAATACTGAGACAAATAGGACAATGAAATATCGGAACCAGCAGTAACAAATAGAATTAAGAAAAAAAAAAAGGGTTCCGACTGCCCATTTGAGGTTTGGGTTAGTTTGGTCGGGTTCCGGCCGGCTAAAGCTAGAGACTTGAGAGGGGATGTGGGGTGTGTTGAGAAATAGGACAGATCGGATTGGGAATATTAGGGTTTTGATGGAGAAGAAGATGAGGAAGGGGAGAGAAACCCTAGACCCACCTCTGTCACTCTGCAAACTGCCCTTAACCCACTCTTATTGAGATCGACGGAAACACCTTTCTAAACTTCCGAGAAAATACAAACAGTACCTCCAAAAACACTTAATTTGCATGGTTCACAACATAAAGGGTATAGATGCACCAATTTCACTCTTAAATTCAAAAGAGGAAAAAATTAGGATTAGAGTTTGATGGTTCTCACCCAAATTTGGTTGCTATCGAGCACACTCATAGCCATTCAAGTTCGCGCATCCTTAAACGATCACCACCCAGAGAAAGGCTAAACATGCAACACAAAAGCAGAAAAGCAATGAACATTCTAAACAGACAATGATGTAATATATTCTGTCGTTTAAACTTATACTTATTTTTGACAATCCAGTCATTTGCACCCTGATTAAAATGAGCGTCAAGTATAAGCAGATAGCCACACACAAAAGTGAATTATCTATTTTAAAAATGAAAGAAATGGGTGCAGAATGGCGGATCAGATACACCCACGTTGATGCGCCCGTGAACCACACAGATATAATCTGTTGAGTTATCTTAACTTGGATCATTTTCGGAAATAATCATCATCCTCTTCTCTTCAGGGGAAGTGGCTACCATCAATCCATACACAAAGACTTTCTTCGTTTTGCCTGCTCTAAATGCATGGCTTGTTGAGAATTAAGCTGCCTCCTAGCTTTAGAGTTATCCTGCAGAAGCTAAACCTGCAGATGAAATCGAAAGGGAGCTGAGAAATGTGAAGAAATGAAGACCTTCCTAAATTAGAAGGAGCCATTAAAATTCAACGGCTAGTTTCTTTTTCTAGTTTTAGAAAGATTACAGCTGGTGTTTTTGTCTTTTTAATTGTACTAAGCTTTCCCATCTTCTTCCAAGTGGATGGATGATATCCTCCGATGACCATTAATGGCCGGAGAGGAGTTCTAGGTCCCTATATGTAGGATCTGTTTTTAGACCAGCTGTGATAAATATAGTCCTTGTAATTTTTCTTTTCTTCTTCATATATGAAAAATACACAGACTCTTGCTCTTCCTTTTCTCTCTAGAAAAACACAGATTTCTTCAAACCTTTTATTAAAAGTTTCAATCTTTATCAACCTCAACCAACATGCCTGGTACCATTTCAAACATGGTATCTGAGCACTAGGTCTGATTCCGAAGAAAGGGCGTGATACTGTGAGAGAGATCCATTAAAAAAAAAATTCAGAAAACCTTAAAGGTGGTACCTTTATAACCATTTGAGCTGTGTTACCTGAGAAGATGGCTGGATCAAGCTCCTCCGGTGGTGATTTACGAACACCACAATTTAATGGCTCAAACTACGATTTTTGGGCATTGAAAATGGAAACCATTCTCATAGCCTACGATCTATGGGATGTGGTAGAACTCGGAGTACGACCGCAGCAGATTCCCGAGGAGGAAGAAGGCTCTGGAGATGAAGAAAGTGAGGCTGAGCAAACTCCAGTGGAAGCACCCACCATCTCCAGAGAAGACAAAATCAAAAACGCCAAGGCGCTGAGTCTCATTCAAGGAGCCATAGCAGATGAGCTCTTCCCTCGCATCAGAAATGAAAAGACTGCTAAAGGAGCTTGGGAAATCCTGAGAAGAGAGTTCAGAGGAGATAAAAAGGTAAGAGCTGTGAAATTACAAGCCATTAGAGCTGATTTTGAATATTTAAGGATGAATGATGTTGAATCTCTGGATGACTACTTGGCTCGGTTTTTTGAGATAGTCAACAACTTGAAATCTCTAGGAGAAGATGTAACAGAGAAAAGAATTGTTCAAAAGTTGTTGATGAGTCTAAGTAGGAGATATAAGTCCATAGTGTCAATCATTGAAAAAACCAGAGATCTAGACACTATTAGAGTTGAGGAAGTCTTAGCTTCAGTGAAAGTCTATGATAAAAGAGAAGACTTGCATGATGAAAGAGAGAAATACACAGGTACTGAGAGGGCTTTCAGCTAAAGTTGGAGGAAATGGAAATGGCACTGGAAGTGTTAAAGGGTCTCAGTATAAGACAAATCCAAAATGGGGTCAGTATAAGAAGGGTAAGAATTGGTCTCATAACAACTGGAATAATGGCAGTGGTAGTGGCTGGAACAACAAATTTACTGCACACAACAAACAACCAAGTGGCAGCCAAGGAAATGTGAAACCGATATGTCAAGTATGTGACAAATACCATTTTGGTATATGCAGATATAAAGGAAAACCCAAGTGTGGAAGGTGCAATTGATTTGGTCACTTAACTAAGGATTGTGACAATGGTAAACAAGTTGCAAACTGTGCAAAGGAGAAGAAGATGCAGTCACAGCAACCATGTTCTATGCTTGTCATGCAAGTAAAATTGCATCAAGCAAAGTCTGTGTGGTTTGTGGATAGTGCATGCAACAACCACATGACCTCTCAAGAGTCTTTATTGATTAATCTTGATAAGTCAGTGACCTGCAAAGTAAAAATGGGCACTGGAGACCTTGTTCAAGCCACAGGAAAAGGGACACTTGTAGTTGAGACACGGAAAGGGAGAAGGTACATAAATGAAGTGTTGTTAGTTCCTGGATTAGATGAAAATCTGCTGAGCATAGGGCAAATGATGGAGCATGGGTACTACATTCTATTTGGAGGAAACTATGCATTAATATGTGATGATAGTAGTCTTGATAATGTTGTTGCTAAAGTTGCAATGACTGGAAATAGATGTTTCCCATTGTCCATGGAATCTGTCAACTCAGTGGCAAGGAAAGCAGCAATACAAGAAGATCCATGGGTTTGGCATAGAAGATTGGGCCATTTGAACTTTACTAGCATGAAGAAAATGCAGCCAACACAAATGGTGTTGGGTTTACCTGATTTCTCAGAAAAAGAAGGAGTATGTGAAAGCTGTGTGTATGGTAAAAGTCACAGAGAACCATTTGAGAATGAGAAACCTTGGAGAGCAAACAATCCACTTGAATTGGTGCACACGGATGTATGTGGTCCAATGCAAAATGTGTCCATTGGAGGGAACAAATACTTCATCACATTCATTGATGATTTCTCAAGGATGTGTTGGGTATATTTCCTCAGAAACAAGTCAGATGTGATAAATGTGTTCAAAAAATTCAAAGCATTTGTTGAACTTCAAAGTGGATTCAAATTGAAGAAACTAAGAAGTGACAGAGGTGGAGAATACACCTCACACATGAATTCCTTGAGTATTGCAGTGATCTTGGCATGGAGAGGCAGCTGACTATTGCCTACTCACCTCAGCAAAATGGGGTTGCTGAAAGAAGAAATATAACCATTGGAGAAATGGCAAGATCAATGATGTCTGAGAAGAAAAATTCCTATCAAGTTTTGGGCTGAAGCAGTTGGCACTGCAGTGTATCTGCAAAATAGGTGTTATACCACTGCAGTCTCAGACAAAACACCATTTGAAGCTTTCACAAGGAGAAAACCAGGTGTAAAACATCTGAGAGTGTTTGGAAGTATTTGTTACAGTCACATTCCATCAAATCTTAGACAGAAATTTGATGACAAAGCAAGCAAGGGAATCTTTATGGGGTATGGCAGTTGTGAGAAAGGCTACAGGATCTATAATCTTCAAACTAAGAAGATCATACTCTCAAGAAGTGTTGTATTCGATGAGAACAAGTCCTGGAATTGGGAAAGCAAGCAAGATGAAAACTGTCTACATGCCTCTCACCATTGGAAATGAAAATTCTGAGATAATCGAAACTGAAGAATCCCCTCATGAAACTCACAGCATTGACTCTCCAAATCTCACTCAATTAGTCTTAGATGATGAACATGTCCCTGGAAACAACATAGTCACTACCAGTCAAGGTTCAACACCAAGCAATACACCAGTAAAGGTGAGAAGCTTGGAAGACATCTATGCAAGATGTCATATGACCATTATTGAACCTGAAACCTATCATGAAGCTATTAAAGACAAAGCATGGAAGGAAGCAATGAATGCTGAAATTGAAACTATTGAAAAGAATGGAACTTGGGAGCTGGTGGAAAGACCTGCAAACAAACCAGTCATAGGAGTCAAATGGGTGTTCAAAACCAAGTTGAATCTGGATGGAACAGTTCAAAAACACAAGGCTAGGCTTGTGGCAAAAGGGTATGCTCAGAAAGCTAGTATTGACTATAATGAAACCTTTGCCCCAGTAGCAAGGTTAGATACAATTAGAACCTTGATTGCACTTGCAGCACAAAAGGGTTGGAAGTTGTTCCAATTAGATGTTAAGTCAGCCTTCTTGAATGGAGTACTTGAGGAGGAGGTTTACACTGAGCAACCAAAGGGTTTTGAAGTTGAAAATGCAAGTCACAAGGTTTATAAGTTAAAGAATGCTCTCTATGGTTTGAAGCAGACTCCTAGAGCCTGGTACAGTGAGATTGACACATATCTCACTAGTTGCAATTTCAAAAGAAGCACCAGTGAGGCTACCTTATATACCAGAACTGATGAAGAAGGAAAACTGATCATTGTCTCTATATATGTTGATGATATAGTGTACACTGGAAGCAGCAATACATTGCTCAGTGAGTTTAAAAAAGACATGATGCAGAAGTATGAGATGACTGATTTAGGACTCTTACATCATTTCTTGGGAATGTGAGTTCTACAAACTGATAAAGGGGTATTTATTCATCAAAGCAAATATGCAAAGTCCTTACTTGTAAAGTTTGGTCTGGAGGATTGTAAGTCAGTGACAATTCCTCTACCCACGGGTGAGAAACTGAAGAAAGTTGATGGAAGTGAGTTGGCTGATGAAGGTTTGTTCAGGAAAATAGTTGGCAGTCTGTTATATTTAAACTGCAACTAGGCCTGACATAATGTATGCAGCCAGTTTGCTATCAAGATTCATGCATGGTCCCACGAAGAAGCACATGGGAATAGGGGTGGATTTTTTTTGCCAAATTGTCGTGCCAACCCGAATTACCAACCGTGCCATACCGATTTTGTGTGCAAATTTTTTTGTACCAATCGGTAATGGTACGGTATTGTACCATATCGAAATTTCATGGTACGGTATTGGTAATGGATACCATTACCACGATATTACCGTACCATACCGAAAATACAATATAATATATCATTTATAAATTATATAATGGATAATTATATAACACATATTTATAATATTCCAATAATTTGAAAATAAAACCCTACTTATATTAGCATTGTTGTTGGTGACTTTGATATCTTGAAATTGTGGAAATCAAACACAAAAGAGTTCCTGCTTCTTTCACAAATAGCCAAAATATCTTTGTAACCCCCACTTCTATTGTTGCTATTGAAAATGCATTTAGCCTAGGGAGGAGGGTTGTGGACCCTTTAGGGTATCCTTGACTCCTAAAATAATGGAGGCACTAGTTTGTATACTAGTGGTTGGCTTAGGGCAGATGAAGTAAACTTCTACAAGGAACCAACGGAAGATATGCTTCAATTTTACAAGGAAATGGAAGACGAGAAAACAAGAAAGATATGCTTTAATTTTTTCAGTAAATTTGTTATTAAATGGTTTTCAACTTTAATTCTTCTTACTACTAATTAATATGTTTTCTTTGTTTGTAATGTAGGCTTGACACAAACTCAATCTTCTACAAGTTCAATGCCTCCTCCAAAAGCTTCGACATCTCAAGCTTGAATAACTGATCAATGAATTCTTCTTTTTGAAGTTTACTTCCAATTTTCATTTGGTTTGAAACTTTAATTTCTATTTGGATTGTTAACTTCTATTTGTTTTTGGTTCGTAACTTTTATTTGGATTTTAAGCTTAATTTTCATGATGATGAATCTTGATGCATCATTTGAATTATTATGTGTGTGAATTGTGAATGATGAATTTAATCTATAATGTATGAGATAAAGGTACAAAAAAAAAACACATATTTTGTCCCAAAACAAAATGGCAATTACCATTGCCATACCATGCCAACCGAACTTTTGGCAATACCGAACTTCGGTATACTGAAAGTTTGGTATGGTAATGGTAATAGATTTTACCAAACCGAAAGTTTGGTACGGTAATTGGTACAAGGGTTTTGGTACGGTAACCGTACCGAACCCACCCCTACATGGGAATAGCTAAAAGAGTTCTCAGATGCATTCAAGGTACTCTCGGCTATGGCATTGAATTTACAAGGGACAAGGATGCTGTTTTGATTGGATTTTGTGACTCAGATTGGGCTGGCAGTGAAGATGACAGTAGGAGCACATCTGGGTATGCATTCAGTTTTGGTAGTGGTACATTTTCATGGGCCTCAGTCAAGCAAAACACAGTTGCATTGTCAACTGCAGAAGCAGAGTATGTCTCAGCAGCTGAGGCAACAGCTCAAGCTATCTGGCTAAGATTTGTGTTGGATGATTTTGGTGAAATGCAAACTTAAGCAACACCATTGTTTTGTGACAACATGTCAGCAATATCAATGGTCAAAAATCCAGTCTTTCATCAGAGAACCAGACATATAAACAGGAAATATCATTTTATTCGGGAAGCATTGCAGCAAGGATCCATTAATGTGGAATATTGCAGGAGTGAAGAACAGTTGGCAGATATATTTACAAAAGCTTTGCCTAAAGATCGATTCAATTACTTGAGGATGAAGTTAGGAGTGAAGCCAGTAAGCAGCTTAGGAGAGGCTGTTGAGAATTAAGCTGCCTCCTAGCTTTAGAGTTATCCTGCAGAAGCTAAACCTGCAGATGAAATCGAAAGGGAGCTGAGAAATGTGAAGAAATGAAGACCTTACTAAATTAGAAGGAGCCATTAAAATTCAACGGCTAGTTTCTTTTTCTAGTTTTAGAAAGATTACAGCTGGTGTTTTTGTCTTTTTAATTGTACTAAGCTTTCCCATCTTCTTCCAAGTGGATGGATGATATCCTCCGATGACCATTAATGGCCGGAGAGGAGTTCTAGGTCCCTATATGTAGGATCTGTTTTTAGACCAGCTGTGATAAATATAGTCCTTGTAATTTTTCTTTTCTTCTTCATATATGAAAAATACACAGACTCTTGCTCTTCCTTTTCTCTCTAGAAAAACACAGATTTCTTCAAACCTTTTATTAAAAGTTTCAATCTTTATCAACCTCAACCAACATGCCTGGTACCATTTCAAACATGGCTTACCACCTGCCCACCCGCCCAAGGTCCAAGCAGAACACCACCTCCAAGCAGTCCCAAACAAGCCAAAAGCCTAAATCGAGGTGTGCTCACCAGAGATATACCTTTTCCACATGCATTAACGGAACCAAAGCACACGTTGGCGGTAGGGGAATTGTTAAATGTATCCAACAATCGATGCGAACGATCCGAGGATAGATCTAACAATCCCTACATTGTCAGAGTGTTTTTTGCTCCATTAAAGTATGTGGAGACGGTCGATAGTCGGTGGGGGGCATCCCACCTCATACTTTCAGATGTTCCACTTAACCCTTGGGTGAGCAGGCAAGCTATTGGCTGTGCGTTCTAACTTCTAAGCAGGCGAAAAGAAGATGGTCCATTTGCATATTGGCAGCAGCCAATTCACCTGAAAAGAGAGGTAATAACAGTTGCTTCGAGAAAAAAACAAATTGCAAAACCACGGTTTAAATCGAACAATTACCGTGGTTACCGAAATTTTTAAGTGGAGACCCTCGAGGCAAATGACAACTATAATCCCTCCTTCAAGAGTCCAGCATCGAGGCAGAACATAAATATGAAATCCGAAAAGGTGGTGTCATCTGGAAAGAACACATGAAGACGTCAACAACAAAGAGGTGCATGTATGTTTTTTTTAGGCAAACAAAATAATATTACAACATGATACTTGATTAACACTCCTCTCGAACTTGACTCTGCAGACCCTAACTTTTATCTGGAAACACATAAAAACTACAAAATCACAACTCGCTTATACTGGATCAATGTTTCGCTTTGAAATCTCTATTTTAGACTTAGTATTGAGAAACAAAAAGTCTTATATGCAAAAGATAACTCATTCATCACAAAGCAACAATACATTTACAGTAACTATTTAAATCAGAACAAATGATTATCATGAATTGCAGCATTAGCATTCTAATTAGAAACTTGTGGCCATAAAGTTGAACATTTCATGACCGTGTTTGATCACATTAGACAATCTAATTATCCATAATTACCTTACCAGAAGCTTGAATTTCTCTGGTAGTCATATCCAAAGCAAGTGCATAACCTTACACCATCCGATTTTTGCTAATCAAATTTAAACTTAATCAAATCAGTAATAGCAACATTATATTAAAACTAAATCATTAGCAGTGGCATTATTAACTGATTAATTAAATTAAATCATTAACAGCAACACTATTAACTGATTAATTAACTTACCTTTAAAAAAAATGGTTAATGCTAATAATCTCACCCCATTGTCCTATTTTCCCACCCATATTTTAATAAAAATCTCAAAAGTATTAATAACGTGTTTATAATTTTATAAAAAGACTTTTAAACCCCTATCCCATTTCTCCCCCATCGTCTCTCTCCATCCCCGTTTCTCTGTTCCGTTTCATCTCTCTCTTCTCGGCTTCTGCACCGACCACCATGGCCGGAAAACGCAGCAAAGTTGTGGTGGTGGAGGAAGGGCAAGAGGAGTGCTCCTCTCTTCTGGGGCAAGTCACTTCTCGTTTGGGGCTTAAATTTCAATTTCCATTGAATTTGAATGGTTATGGAGACTGAGAGCGTCATTACAGCGGTAATTAACATTTTAATTTTTTTTTTATTACCTCAAACTTCATTGCTTGATAGTTCCTACAAGTGCAAGTGACTTGTTGCAGTAGTACAAAATCTAGAGATACATTGCTTGTGGACAAGATTGAGAAAATGGTATTGGAATCTGGGGTTTTGGGTTGGTTAATTGATGCATTTTGCTGCCAAAGGAAGTTCTGGGAGAGACTGGAGGTGTAAACAAGATAACGATGGTGTGGTGATGGTGCTGCGATAAAGGTTATTTTTGGAATAATAAAGGGTGGGAAAATAAGATTTTAATTTTTTTTTAATTTTTATATTGGGTGAGATTATAATGGGGTGAAGAAATAAGACAATGGGGTGAGTCTAGTAGCACTCATTAACAAACAACAGTAACAAAAATTACAAATTTACCAGCGACATAATCCATGGTGGTGGACTACGGAACATTGTGAGGTTTCTGAGGGATGATCGCCGCCAGCTCCACCCCATGGTCCAATGACAACAGAGGGTGAGGGACAATCAGCATAATGTAAAATTATTTAAACAATTAATCCACATTGAAAAGCATACATTATAAATCCAAACCAAATTACATCATCCAAGAGAATTTTTTTTATACCTTTGTTATTGTGTCTTTAAATTGATTTCAGCAAAACTTGTTTCTTTTTCCATAGTTTGTGGAGCTCAAATTTTTCGGAAACCTACAATCATTACACAACGTTGTCACATCATAAGTGTAGAAGAAATCATCGCTACCAGAATTTATAAAGACCAAAACAGTTAGCACCCAAAAATAACTTTGATTAACAAAGACCAATTTGCCAACAAAAGTTGAACAGGACATACGCAGAAAATTTCCTTAATTTTTACCATTCTTAAAAATAGGACCTAACTTTAACTAAGACCCAAATTTTATTGAAGGATCGTGTTAAGCTAAGCAGCAAATTATAAATTATTAATCTTGTTCTTAATTATAGTAATTTAGAAAACAACCGATACAAAAAAAAAATCACAAAGCTTAATAAAAACTCTGAAGAAAAAAAAGTTTTAAACACAACACCTGCAGATGACCCTATAATTTGGCTAATTTACAAACGCTTAACGTGCTCAGCAGATGTTTAACTCTTCAGTAGTATATAAATTGAAACTAATAAGACCATCTCTAACTTTTCAGAAATATTTAAACTGAAATGAATTGATATTTTTTTCTATACACTGATAATTCAAGGTTTGCTATAGAAAAAAAAAATCTATAATTTAAGCTTCAAAATGCATTACAAAATCAATTAATCCAAAGCAAGCAAGCTGACGATAACAATTTGATTAGCTTTGGAAATCTCTTTGCTTTATCACTTCATGATACTAAATTTTTCAAGCCGTCTTCTCTCACTCTCTAAAATGCCTTTTTTTTCAAGCAACTGGCCTAGAAAAGACTAAAACCCAAATGCATGGGGTAGAATTTCACCCATAATATTGGGAAAACTAAATAAACAAATAAAATTAAAAGATAAGTGCATGAAAAATCAAATCTTTCACTCCTGTAAAATGAAAGCAACTTTTTTGGTTGTTTCTAGGCCCCTGATTTATCGTATTTTTTGTATTATCGAGACTAATGAAACTACCAATTACCCTTGAGTTGACTTTCATTGACCGTCTTGTCGAAACACGTATTTCTAATTTTAGTAATTTATTCTTATTGTATGCATCGCCACGAACGCGTGGTCGTGAATGGATTCAAATTTGGAATTATAATGAAGATTTTACGTTACGAAACTTCGAACGTTTTTCGGATATTTTGCGTTTCATCTTTAGTGGTTTTAATTTGTGAGCCCATGGAACCCACTTGGGATTTTTGTTCCCTTTTTCTTTCCCCTTTACCCGTAAGTCCCTCTCCCCTTTTTCTTTCTGTCAAC